GGCTCATCTTTCTCCACCGAGAGTGCGTATTCAACCAAATTAACTTGCCCATAGTGCTTCAGGGGTTGATCAGCCCCCAGCTTCTGTACCTGCTTGTATGCTCGCTTTGGCCTAGTGGAAGCTAAAGTATCCTCGAGCTGCTGTTATTGTAGTGTCTGTGTATTCTCCTGCTAAACCTCCTCCTGCTCAAGCTCATCATCTACCTGATTTCCCACTTGAACATGATTAGAACTTGGTTGGTCTTTAGGTTCTATCTCAATAACCTGAGACTTTGAAGTCTCAACAGTCCCAACACCATCATCCTTGGGTGACCTAGCAATCATGGATTTTTCATCAAAGGTAACGTCCCTGCTGATCACGAACTTTGAATTTTCTATACACCAAAGGCGGTAGCCTTTTACACCCTTTGCATACCCTAAGAATATCGCCTTCTTGGCCCTCGCGTCAAGCTTTCCCTCGTTGACGTGATAATAGGCGGTACATCCAAAAATTCTGAGCCTCTCATAATCTGCATGTTCTCCTGACCACACCCTATAGGGTGTATCACCATCTAGTGTAGAATGTGGAGAACGGTTCACAATATAACATGTTGTAGCCACCGCTTCTGCCCACCATTCGTTGCCCAATCCAGCATAAGATCGCATACTCATTGCCTTCTCTGGCAATGTTCGGTTCAGTCTCTCCGCGACCCCGTTCTGCTGTGGTGTTGACCTGACTGTCCAGTATCGAACAATGCCCTCCTGATCACAGAACTTCTTAAAAGCACCATCTGTATACTATGTACCGTTGTCAGATCTCAGTGTCTTCAATTTCTTACCTGTCCTATTCTCAACCATTGCTTTCCACTTTTTGAATGTCTCGAATACCTCATTCTTATGCTTAAGAAAATAAATCCAAGCATACCTAGAATAATTATCTATGAATGAGACAAAATACCTGGAACCACCCTTGGAAGTTGTCTGAGTCGGACCCCAAACATCTGTGTGCACATAATCTAGTATACCTCTGCTCTTGTGATTGCTTTTCAAGAATTGGACCATGTGCGCCTTTCCATACACACAATCCTCACAAAAATCCACAGACCTAGCCCCTTCTCTGACATGTGCCCAAGCCGCCTATGCCATAACCGTGTGTGCTCACATGGGTCTCCACCACTTCCTTCAGTTCCAACAGCTGCATCTCCTGTCACCGTCATACCCGAGAGAGTATATAGATTACCGTGACGAACACCCTTCATCACTGTTAGGGAACCTCGAACAACCTTCTTCACTCCGTTTTCTGTAACAATCTTGCAGCCACCGGAGTCCAATGCACCTACTGAGATAAGATTCTTCCGTAAGTCGGGAACGTGCCGCACGTTCGTTAGGATTCTGACCACTCCATCATGCATCTTGATTTTTATATCACCGAGCCCCACCGTTTTACAAGCATGGTTATTCCCCATCAATACGGTTCCATCATCAATGCTTCTATAGGTAGTAAACCACTTCCTGTTTGGACACATGTGGTAAGAGCAGCCCGAATCAAGTATCCACTTACTGGAGATAACTTCGCCACCCGTAACAACATAGCATTCTTTATCGCTCCCTTCCTCTGAAGCATAACTTACTTCTTCTTTGCATTCTCTTCTCTCAGTCTTGTTGTTGTTCTTCTTCCCACCTACTCTCTTGTTTGGACAGTCGACCTTAAAATGCCCAACTTCACCGTATTTGAAGCATGCTCTTCCCGCAAGAGGTCTCGATTTAGATCTAGACTTTCCTCCCTTACCTTTTCCTCGCTCATTGCTCCTTCCTCTAGCAAACAATCCATGCGCTTGTTCTTTGTTACCACCAGTAGTCATGTCACTGGTTGCAATCTTTCGAAGGTCATCCGAAGTGCCATTCTAGTCTCATTCATCGTCAAATTGTCTCCCACAAGCATCAGTGTTTGCACCAGGTTCTTATAAGACTTCGGCAGAGATAGAAGTAGTAGAAGCGCCTGATCCTCGTCTTCTACAGTCACATCGATGTCCTTCAAATCAGATATTATCCTATCGAACTTGTTGATGTATTTCCGGATTGATGAGCCCTCCTCCATCTTGCAAGTATACAATTTGGATTTTAAATAGATCCGGTTCGTTAGACTCTTCGTCATGAAGGTGCTTTCTAACTTCGACCACACGTCCATAGCCATTTTTCTCCATCTACCAAGAAAGCTACATCCCTTTCAAGGCAAAGGATAATCGACGCTCGTGCTTCCAGATCCAGCTCTTCCCAATCCTCATCAGACATATCCTTGTGCTTCTTCTCTTTTCCCACCAAAGCTTTGTGCAATTTCTGCGAAATCAAAGAGTTCTTCATCTGCATCCTCCAATAAGAAAAATCATTCTTCCCATTGAATTTTTCAATCTCGTATTTTCCCACTTTAACTATTTTACTTGTTGACGCCATTCTCCGCTTGTATTAATAAATCTGCTTCTCTCAGGAAATTACCGAGAACCACCTCAAACCAGAAGCTACACCACTCCCAATCTGATTAACGTCTCTGATACCAATTGTTGGGCGCAGAGTCACGCCCACCGTCGCGGAAGCGATATCACCTGAGAGAAAGCCCTGGCTTTTGTTATCCCAAAAGCACAAGCCAACCGTTATATTCTCGTTTCTCAAAGGAAACTAGAATAGATAGTAAAATTCTTATTTCTCAAAGGAAACAAGAATCGAAAGTGATATATTTCATCAAAGTGAAATATACACTCTTCCTCTCATCAGTTCTAGGACTAAAATGTCGAATGAACCTACAAGCAATAGTCAACACCCAGAAAATAATAAATACACGAGATTTACGTGGTTCAGCAAAATTACCTACGTCCACGGGAGGGGTGAGGGGAGATTCCACTATAAGGAGAACACCGACGACTTGTACAATTCACAAGCTCGTCTCAAAGAAAAGAGATCTGATTTTTTACCCAAAAGAAATTTACCTCTCTTTTGTAAAATCTCTCTTTTTCTCCCCTCAAGATCTCTCTTTTTTTCTCTCAACAAAAAAAACACCTAAGTCTCTTTATTTCTCTCTGTTTTTGCCGACTAAACCCTCTGCTATTTTCCCGCAGTCTTTTCCCCTGCGTTTTGTTCCCCGCAATTCAAAACCCTAGGTAAACTTGCGTATATATAAGAGATTTGGAGGGCCAGTGAAGAAAACCCGCTGCTTGGGGTTGTTTCACGTGTGGGGCGCACGTGGGTGGACCCCACCAAGTTACTGCTGCCGCTTGCCTCCGTGAAAGCCTCCGCGTTCGTGCCCCACGCTGAATCCCTTTGTTCACAAAGGTAAACTATAAGATAGTTCTAATTTCAAATGTGTCCAACCAATTCCAGGATAGTGAAGATTAGGTGGGAGGTATTTATAAAAAGGGTCTAATTAAATAACCACTTTCAAATCAACTTTCTTAGATACTAACTTGTTAGCCCAATCAGAAATCAGACTTACCTTACAATCTACTTGTTCTATTGAGCTTGAAATCGTTAGGGGATAATGTTTAAATAATTTTCATTAAAGTTTTGGTGATGCTTATGTGGGGATCTAATTTTTTTAGCCAAGGAAGGTGATGAAATCCCCACTTTATATTGTTTAATTGGGTTGTGCCCTTAAATTGATTTAAAAATAAGAATGCAACATATCACAATGTTCAAGTCTAACTTGTAAAACCTCATCTATATGGTATAGAATTTCAAGAATTTGTCAATCTCAATATATCTGTCTCATTATGATAGGCGATTTTCATATATAGTATGTTAGATTTTGACATATGGTTTGAGAAATATGACCCGTTCTTTGACGCTAACAATCATGAATACGAATTTAACTTGCTCTTTGACTGACTTGGTCTCTAAGTAATTGAATATTGCATTTTTTTTCTTGATTCCCTACTGGAGACCAGATTGATTCTTTTAGACTTTGGGCTTTTCACTTCTATATATGGGCTTCAATTGTCATCTTTTGGTCTCTTCTTCGTTTAAAACCTATCTTCCTATAAATACCAAAAAAAAAATACCCAAGTGGCAATTAAATGACACAAAAATATAGATAAATAGAGATACAAAAATAATATAAAATATGTTAATCATCAATGGATCACATCTCATATCTTAGTAGCCCCACAATGTCCCCTAAGACCCTCCTCTCTCTTCCAAAGTTGAAAGGACGAATCCTTAGGACCTACTTCACCATGCGCATAAGGCATTGGTATTTAAGATGTGTCCCTCTATCACATTGCCCAAGCCACCGCCAAAACTGTCCCACTACCGAAGGACAAAAGTCATCGCTCAAATAAAGCCTATAAACAGAAGAGTAGCGAAAAGAAGAAAGAGATCTAAAACCTTGAACAAAGAGGCAGGATGCTAAAACTGATTTCTAACCGCTCTCCTAGCGAGATGAATCGCTAGAGAACATGAGAGGAAGATACCGATAAAAGGGCTTTTGCTTTGCGTGATTTGTCATTCTAGATGACTATTTCTGCCTTAATGCGACATAGGAGTACTCTTAAGGGTCAACTTGGCAATTTCTAACTTGTACTAGATTAGTTCTAGTCCACTTACATGTGGCGTCGATAACTATAAACTGGTTTCCATTGCACTAGTAAATTAAATTAAGCTATTTTCAATTAAAACTGGTTTGTAACTAATATTTGACTATTTTTAATTTGACTAAATTGAACTAGTTTCAATTTGGGTATTTTCTTTTTTATTTCTCGAATGTTTTCCGAACACAACATAATCTGGTCGTCTGATTATTGGCCAAAATCAGGCCAACTACTTAAGCTACTAACTGAGGTTATGGACTTAGATTAGAAATTGATCTCGGGTAAATCTAACTTATGTGGTTGTCAAACTGAACCTACCTCCCTTTCTTCCATGCAGTCATCGGTGCATTAGCGAGGTCTAAGAAGAGAGAAGACACAAATAAAATCAGAATATTAGCGTATATTTGTAGAAATTTAAAAAAGTTAGAGAGATTAAATAGTATGATAGAGAGAATAGACCGGCAAATATGAAGAGCTGAAGGATAATTTCAAAAATACATAGGTAACACGCATAAATAGAAATAAACAGTAGCTAAAATTCAAGCCGAATCACCATATCACATCTCCTGAAGGCATCAAAATACCCTCCAATACTGGGGAAACCACGATGTGCTTCATACCCATATAGAATACATTACCCACCCCCCGAAACATTTTGATCTAAAAAGATCCCCACATCATGTAAGGGCACAATCCTCTATGCAATAAAGCATTCAAGCTGCTCTACTGCACGGTGTGTGGTTGAAGAGGCTTTCCACGACCAACAGTGAATCCCCTTGTGCCATCTGGCATGCGAGGCCCAGGAGGCTGCCTTGATACTGCAGTTGGCTGATCATTGTGGACAGGATAACTGGAAGGTGGCGGACTGCCTATTGTGTGGCCTCCGCCTATGTAGCGGTTGGTATTGTAGTTGTTACTATTGTGGAAAGGCCCTCCTCGTCCACGTCCTTTACCCCGGCCCCTTCCCTTCCCCCTCTTTGCTGCTCCACTTTCCTTTTCATTGACAACCACCTCCTCACCCTGTCCAAAATAAATACCAGATTAGACTTCAGGAGAACATACCATTGTCAAGTGAAAGGAACTCAACATGAGTGGAGAAAACATAACGATAATAATAAAGCAGATGAATGAAGTGAGTTTGACTGGGGAAAATGAAAGGATCCAAGGAGTCTTACAACATGCTCATGTGGAATTGCAGCTGACTGCAAAGGATCCTGTTCCACGTGATTGACCTTTGGCTGGTCACTTGTGGAAGTATTCTCATCTTCTACATTTGCATCACCTTCATGCCCTAGCTTACGCCCTCGAGCTGGGCCTTGCTTTGATGGGACCTGGAGTATATATTGATTTAGAAGATGCATCTTACTACTTTCCAAATAAATGGAAAGAAAAGAATTTTGAGCACACTCTTCAAAAAAATGGTGCAAGCCCCATGCAAGAAAAAAGGAGAAAGTGTTAAAAACATGAAAAATGTGAAGAGAAAGATTATTTAATAGGAAAAAAAATAGAGAAACCTTGCAAAAACATATAAATATATGAAAAATTCCACACATACACAACCACACGTGAAGGCAAATGTACCAGTAACTTAAATGGAGGAGATAGCCCTAAGCACTTAACGGAAAAATAAGTCATATAGCCGACCAAAAAATTTAAGGAAAATTACACTTAAATACCCTATTGTTTACCCAATGTCGCACATAAATATCTTTAGTTGTAAACGGCTTCACTTAAATACCCTAAAGTTTCTAAATGTTGCACTTTAGTACCTCGCTTATACAAACATGAGAATTTCCAACCAAGAATTCTCATGCGACACTCGCATAATATTTTTAGAACATCTTAACCCTTATTTTTCATTAAATCTATTGATAAACCTATCAAAATACTATTTTAAACCTACCGTAATTCTATCTTAAAATAGGATTTTAATAAGGTTTAATAGTAAATTTAATGAATATTAAGAGTTAAAATCTATGTTACCCGGGTACTTCTATAATGAAGCTGTATCCGTACCGGACACGTACCCGACACTTTCCCGTACCCAAACTTCATGGACACTTCTTGAATATATGCATGCATTTATTACAAAATGTACTCAATTATACGATATATGTGTTAATTTAAAACACTTGTCAAAGACTTCCTGGACGTAGAGCTTACACTTCACATCCGTTTTTTGAAACTAATGAGATACGGGTCAGATTCGTTTCAGTCCATACCCAAGTTTAAAACTATATAGTTAATGGGTCGTTTAGATGTCTAGTAAAAAAATGAGTAGTTTACAATTCACGATAATCAATATGATAAAAGAAACTCAAGAATGTGATCAGAATTTTAATTCTAATGACACATGAAGGGGAAAAAATTATCTTATGTACAGTATTAATTCAATATATATGTAGTCGTGTCCCCGTACCTTATATTTTACAGTTTTGTCATGTCCCGTACCCGCACCCGCACCCGTACCAGTACCCGTGCCCGTGCCCGTTTCCATGCAACTTAGGTTAAAATGTTCTAAAATTAGCATGCGAGTGTTGCACAATAATTATCGGGGAAGAAATTCTCCCATTTGCATAACCGAGAGAACTAAAGTGGAACTTCTAGAAACTTCAAGGTATTTAAGTGAAGCCATTTACCACTGAGGGTGTAGTTATCTGCAACATGGGGTAAACAATAGGGTGTTTAAGTGTAATTACCCAAAAAAATTAGTATATAGGTTTTGCTGCAGTTGTTGTGCACACACACACACAAACTAGATCCTGTCAAGCGCATGCCTCAAGAGTAAGACCCCTAGCCAGAGTAAAAACTGTAATGTGACTGAAGGAAATACTAGTTAGAAAACAGCTAAGCAACAGTAAGGACGGCAGTGAGAAGAAAGCAAGAATCATCATTGTTTATGAGAACAATAATATGGCAGTACCATGCAACTAGACAGTACACGAACACGAAGCCCATTTCTCCAATTCTTTCCTTCATTGAGCTCTGTAACCTGCTTAAAGAAAGTAATTGCAATGAGAATTCAGCTCAACTTAAAAAGTAATTTACAGATGTCCTGCCAAAGAAAACAAAAACAATTTAAGCTTTAAAACCATTAGCTTACTGCTTTCTCAGCATCCACGGCACTCTCGTACTCCACAAATGCATGCAACTACAAATAGAGAAAAATATTCACCATGAGAAATCACTGAATGCAATTTAAACTTCAGATAATTACATTACTTAAAAACAATCTGTAGTATCAATTACTATCTGCGGAACTACAAGAGCAGCATATGTCCCTATATGCTAGAAAATAAATCACACAGTTGTACGAAGAAAACTAAAGGCCTAATACTTTAGGTTTACAATCATAAAAGGAAGGGATTGATCCTGAACCTGAAAGCAAGCCTACGCAGAAACCAGCTTCCATTCAAAACTCTGTTGATGCAGGACAATTGTGAATCATCGATCTTAGATTAGTAGGATTTATTAAGATCTTTTTTTGTTTCAGAGATATTTGGTATAATTATTTTAAAAAAAAGAAATATTTGGTATAATCTTTATTTTAGGTGAGATTGAATAAGGATTTGCAATTTTTAGGATCTTTTTTTATTTGATTTTGTTAGGATCTATCTTGTGGTTAGGATTGAAATTTATTCTATCGTTTGTTTAATTTCTTATTAAATAATCTGTATCCTTTCTGTCAGAGACAGACAAAGACAATGATGATTAATGAAATAATGTATCCATATTATGTAAGGTTTTTGTTCAATCTCCTCAGAACTCCTCTACTCAAATTAATCCGCTCTCCGCCATCCAGAAGAAAAAGTTTTTTTTTTTGGGTCGGAATCCTCTTAGTCTGATCCTCATCATGTCCCAGAAACTTGGGTAGCATTAGGTTGAACAATACTTCCTACATTCACTAACCTAGATATAATTGATCTAAAGTAACATTTAATCATTAGATCTGACCAGGATGTAAACTGGATCTAGTAAGAAACAGTATAATTTTCCAATCTGCTGCCAATGTGTAAATAATAACATTGTTTAAAGGGCCTTGGATTCTGGACTTGAAATGATCAGATAAGAAAGGGTGCTTTCCCATTAGACGCAAGTGAATCATATGCATAGAACCATTTATCTTTAGGCGGAGACAATGTTCCAGACCCAGATCCTAGGAACTAGAATGCAGACATCCCCAATCAACAGACTCAATAAACTTCCATAAAAATTAAGAAGTGGTATATAGTACGCGATCGTTTCTGCACTAACCTAAATATGGTATGCCTGCAATTATTCATGCTCAACCTATGCCATGTCTGCACGATTATTCTTGCCAACTTGGGCAATAAGTAAAGATGTAAACCTGTTCATGTGAATGAGTGGGACTATGCAGTTATACTAAAATCTTAACCCGCATGACTGCACTTGACCTGCTCACTAGCAGTAGCATGTCATTGTTCTTAATCCACACCAAGATGCAGGTCAATCATATCAAAACCACATAAAAGCCACTAACAAAATCAGTTATATTCCATCTCCTGTAAATCATATCAAAACCAAATAAAAGCAACTAACAAAATCAGTAATATTCCATGTCTTGTCAACTAATCTTTGCTAACTGCTTCTTCCAACTATCAAGGTCATTTGATTTTTATTTTATATTTTAAAACAAACATGAAACCAACTGATCTACCCATCTACCTACCATATAAAGCTACTAATGCATACCTTGGGGATTCTGGACTAAAAATTTGTTTCACATCAAATCACACCCGAACACCCCACCATGTCTACGAACGTCAAATGCAAAACACCAGCCTGAAGCCCTTTAGTTAGATAAGGGGTATAATAAAGTAAAAGATTAGAAGCATTAAAAATTAAACCACTGATCTGCCCCAATAAAGGTAAACAATAATAGCATTTCTATTTACTTATTTATAATAAAACACATATTAAGTGAAAATCAGTTTATCTCAGACTGCATCACCACTTTTTTCTGTCATCTATGAGAAAAACAGTTATTTCCCCTGTCTGGGATTTTTCTCTCTCTTTATGGGAGCTTCTTTCCCCAGTTTGACAACTTCTCTCTCATTCATGCGAGCTAGTCCGCCTTGGGAATTTACTTAAAAGAAAAATATCTCAACAAGTTTGGCTTTGGGAAGCTGGAAAAAGCTGAAACTGAATGATAAGTAGAAGTGTAAACACAATGAGCCTGAATACTTGTATCATTTAACAGGAAACGATTTTTTCCATAAAAACTCCTGTTTAACAGATGGATATATTTACCATTATGTGTAGATATATCATTATGTATGGCGGCCTTCTCAAAAAAGGGAAAAAGAATTACATGGAACTGACACCAAAACTACGTAGGAAACTGTTTGCTAAGACTTGAACCAAATAGCATATTGAGTCCAAAAAGGAAAATGTATGTGCAATTTAAATTTCAAAAGAAAGAGTCATGATGACAAAACAAATTCAAATGAGAAAATAAATGAAAAGAAACTGAAGGAAATCTTTCTAATGATAGCTGCCATAATGTGGAGTCTACCAACTAATGTAACTTGCGATCAATCAATTTTCAGAAATCAGAATTAAATAAACACACAACCATTTCACTTATTTACAAATGTACGCTGATATAACACTTTTTGTGCATCCCTGCTACTTATTCTTGGCCACCTCTTGTGGGGAACTCTTTAAATGTGCCTAAACCCTCTGTTATTGAGTGGCTTTGCACTTGCGGTGTTCTGCGCTTATGTTGCAGCTTGTGTCTATCATATTTGGAGGGAGAGAAACCAGAGGGCTTTTGCTGGTAAAGAATCCACTGTTGAGGTGATTATCAGAGCTTTTCATTCCAAAATTCCCTTTCATGCCTCGATGTATTTGCTGTAAAGAAGTGAGGTATATGTGGTTTTGAGAATTCTGGAAAGCCCCCTTGTATTACCCCTGGGTATGCCTGGGATGTAGCATGTACTTAATTCCTATTGGTATTGAAAATTTATTCATTCACCACTAAAAAAAATTTGTCTCTCTAAGACGGGATTAGTTAATTTGGACCTAGACCTAAAATTCCAAACTAAGCTGATCTGAGACCGTTGGAGATATTCCTTATTTCACTTCGTACCCTAATATGTCCAAGTATAGAAGATATCAGAAAGGAAATAAAAGCATATTACCAACTTAATCACATTATGATAATATTCTAGGAAGATGGATAAATTTTTAATAAAAGCCCCATCATGAAGACAAATACGGACCTTATTAGCAAAAAGCATATCTAATTTTGAGGATCTGTTTGTTGTAGATGCTGTTCCATTAGGGACCTGAGGATAGCATGTACGGATTGTCTTCACACTACAATATTACATGCCATTAGTACATTAAAACAGTAATGCTAATTAAAAGTCCAACATATGCGTATTGAATAGATACCTCCCAACTGCAGAGAAAATCTGCATAAGACTTTGGTAACAATGATCATCTGGAAGATTTTCAGCGACAACAATACGCAACTGCAGGGAAAGTAAAACAAAATTATCAGAACTCTACCACGGCATGGATGGTGAATGGTGAGTTGGATAACAAGGTTGGATAAAACCTGCAATTCTTCAACATCCAATTCTGTAAATGGTTGTTGGCGTCTGACTTTCTTCCCATCTTCACTAACAACCTGAAATTTAATGCAGATAACAACTCACAAGAAAGACAACAAAAGGATGAATCTTATGCATATTTAGTATTGACTATTTAAAGAATATTGCACCATTCAACTGTAAAGGGTGTTAAACAAACATGAATAGGATTATGTCAACAGGGTGAGTGAATGCCTTTGCTTTCGCATTTCTTTTCTCTCTCCACGTGTGGTGTCGTGTCTGTACAGATGTACGTGGGTGTCATAACAAAATAATCTTTTCGCAAACACACTTAATGGGCTCTATCAGTTCTTCCATAGACAGAATTTATTTAATATTTAATATATGACTATAACAAGACATAAGAAGTTCAACTTCACATTGTACCAAAAACTTACAAGTTTCGATGAAGTTCGCAGAGCATCAGCAAGCAAGGAATTGTTGTGGACTAAAGCCTTAATCTTTCTAAAAGATGCAATAACTGTTATTGGCACTGCACAGAAGAGGATGTAAGGTTTAAATCAACATGAGATAACAAGACACTCTATGCTTAAACTGTTGTTTTATATAAAGGGTAGTAAATTACATCATGATACTAAGTGCACAGAAAATACTTTTCTTGTGAAAGGTATGTTTCATGCAAAAACAAAGAATTTATTCTTCATTTTGCACCCGCTAGATAGTAGTTCTTCCTAGAACCATCAATGAGGACTACAAAAAATTAATCAATGCTATATTAATCAAACACCGCATACCATTACAAGCTCACCCAATTGAAAGTCAAAATGTAGGTATAAGAACTAATATTAATCAATGCTATATTAATCAAACACCACAAATCATTACAAGCTAATCAAACACCGCAAATCATTACAAGCTCCTTCATTACGTTTATCCTTCTTAATCCAACCATGTTCTCCTATATCTACCTCTAGATCTCTTTTCACCATTAACTATAATATTATCATTTTCCCAAACCATGTGCAGCACTAGGAGGCCTCCATTGTACATGGACAAACCATCTCAACCGGTTCTCTCATTTTATTCTTAATAGGAGCAACCCCTAATCTCCCATGGATCCACTCATTTTTTATCCTATTTTTTTTAGTGTATACCCACAAAAGCATTCTATCTTTTAGTAGTATTACGACTCCCTAGTTTGAAGACATTGAATTAACATGACTCTTGAATTGGAATATGCATATAAAAGTAAAAAAATGTTGTAAAGCCACTATATATCTATTAAGAACATACTTAAACTGATATTCTACTAGGTATATAATAAGAATGCTACATGTCCTGTCCATTGCTGCTAATATAACCAAATATATCAATATCCCTGGCTATGAACCATCTTATCATTTCTGCCACCCCTATATACTTTCTCTCTATATTACAACCATTAGACTACAATATTGCAAAATGCTCTTAGAAGCACAAGAAATTAGGCAGATTAGGAAGAGTTGCACAAAGGAAAAAGGAAATTGAGAAGACTGGAAGAAACTTGATGACAAGTATCGAGCTTGATGGTGGGAGTGGTTAACAACATTCATTATTTGCAAAAAAATTAAAATATAATGAGTCAATATATTAGCATCGATCATTGTTGTTAAATACAAAAGAAATCCTATTCAAAAATTATAGGACTTAGATTGATTATTGAGTAGGTGTACTTCCTATTATGGGCTAAAAGGACACAAAGGGGATTCAGATCCATGAAGGAAGTTCTTACAGATAACACTGGCTTATTACAATCACATTACAAGATAACTACCAATCCTTCATTCTTATCAATGTTGATATCCAATAGATAAAAGTCGCTGCTGCTAAAGATTGTAGAACACATCAACATTCTCAGAGCGTAATTATCTAACTTCTTAAATGTACTACATCACCTGCACCCACCCCCTAACAACACAAGCTAAAGAAAAGGTAACTTACAACTTTACTGCTGCACCTCGACCTGCTAGTCAATCACAACAGAGTCTGTGAAATAAGCATGAATTGCTTAATGAAAAAAATAATCAAATTAGAAGGAAAAGATTGGAAGAGTTGCTGTGAAGTATCAATATTGAAATGAAGTAGACGGCTGAGAAACATTGGACACACAAGCAAGAAAAATGGTAGGTTCATACCAAGATCCGAGAACTTGGATTCAGTTTAGACTTTTTTTCCCCTTTTGAAACTTGTTGTTTCACTAGTTTCCATATATTTGGTCCAGAGTTTTAGTTTTCGCTGCATTGCTACATAATATAAATGTATGTTTGAAGAATTGATTTTTTTTTTCAATGTTAAGAACCTTAAGACGTGAAATTGTTAGTAATGGACAATATTTGCTTCACTGATATTATAAACGAGCTAAACTGATCAATATTTATTTCATAAGGTCATACAAATGACTACGGATATAAAATTTCTAATTTCACTAGGACTTAAAATATAATACATGTAGAAGAATATATATTTAAGGATTGAATAAAAAGCATAATCAATAGGTTTAAGATGAAGGCTACGTTAGGAGACTACAAACAAAATTTTGGTTTATTCCACATAGACTGACATGACATGCATGCCCATACACTTCTGAATTTACAAAAGTCCAAGGTACCATCCACCTTAAAACATGTGTTGCCTCGTGTTCGGAAAAAAATTACATTCTATAATATAAAAATAACAACCAAAATCTTGAATCCAGAAAGATATAAATTTATACAACAATATAAAGAAAATAGCAAGAGCAGAGAAAAAATTGGAGGAAGCAGGACATCATATACAAAGATATACAAAGATGGAAGGGAAGATGATAATTTCATATAGAATATAATATACTATGATAAATATCATAAAATCCTCCCCC